GGGCCCCACCCCCAGCGTTTTCAGTTCATTAGGTTGGGGTCGGGGCCAGAGAATTTGCACTGATGTTTGTGCTCTGGGCAAGGCACCACAGGCCGAGACCCACCCTATGATATGCTAAGTATTTTTGATATAATATTTTCAGATGAACTTGAGGCTACATTGAGCTTGGAGATAAGTCCTAAGGTTTAAGTCTTGGGAAGCAAATCATTCAACCTAACTGACCCTTGATTTTTCATCTGTATAATGGGAATAGAATAACATCTGATTAACAAGGTGTTTGACAATTACAATTTAAAGGTGTTTATTATACTTTCATATATGCAAATACAAATCCATATACAAATAAGATGTGGAAGGTATTTGGAGGTCATAAAATTTATGCTTTTCTCACCATGACTGAAATTCTGTTTTCTAATTAATATACTTGTGTTACTTGTATTCCAAAATTTTACTCAAATAGTTTCATTATGTTAAACTTGAATTCAATTAACATTTCATAAATCAAGAGTCTCAAAAAATATGTTAATTCTTTTCAGACAAAGTCAAGTTTTAGGGAGATCTCACACTTGCCTGACCAGTTTGGGAGTCCCAAAAATTGTAGGTTGAATTCTGAATGCTGCATAATTTACCTGAACATTAAAAGCTCACATTTCTATGTTATTTTACACTTTCCAAGCAGTTTAAATATGGTATATAATTTTAATTTCATAGAAATGTTTTCTAAGTCATTAATTGTTGAGTGATTAATCATGATAAGATACATGATCATCAATGTCTAAACTTTGTAGGTAAGTATATTACTGGTACAAAGTGTATATTAATTGTTCTCCTATGCTTTGCTAACCAAAAAGTGAAACTATTATAATGTGGTCTTCCTAAAATATCGTAAAATTGGAGTAGAGGACAGGAGATATTTAGATGGTTTTCCTTCATTGAATAGTTGTAAACTTTCTCAGTAACTTTATATTCCTGGCCTCAGAAAATGGAATTTAACTACCTTTATTAATGATAACTTTTAAAGCTACTCTTGACTTACCTCCTAACAATTTAATTTTTCAACTATTTCTACCAGTAAAACACCAAAAATATAATTTAAAAAACCCACAATTTAAACTCTGAT